GCAGCCTGTTTCTCAAATATGGCCGCTCTCCGGCTTATCGCTCACACCTCCGGATTTTTCTTCCACTTGCTCAGACTCGGCACGGGCTGATGTTCTGGTGTTTGTGCTAAACCGCAGAACGATGAAAGCGATAACCGGCCCTGCACCGAACCACGAACTCTGGTGGTTGCTACGGGGGCAGGCAGCTCCTTGACAACCAGCCCAGAGCTGGAAGTGGGGGCTTTGCAACCACTTCCTGTCTTGGTGAAATTTCACTTCCTGTTATTAACAGTAATAGAAACGGCGAACGCCCGCTGTGAAACGTTGCCATCTGTCATGTCTTTTTCAGTTTATGTTATCTCTGCATAGTATTTCTCCCACGTCTTTCCTACTGAGACACAGATATATAAAACTGTCCAGGTCTTTGAACTATATCATCCGATTTCTCACAACACCGAGCAACTCCTTCCGCTTTCTGGTGAAGAGGCAGTGCAGATGCACAGGGACAGCTCTTCTTGTGTCAAAACAAAATATTGGTCTAATTAGAGATCAGGCGTGGGGGGGCGGGGTGGCTTATTCATCAAGTCTACTTATAATCCACCCCTTACAGAGCTCATTTGCTTTAACCAGTTAGAAGCACACTTTGTGACCCAGAATTATCCAGGTCACTCTTTTTCAGACTCTTTCCAGGACAGCAGTGCCCAGAACCAAACCAGCTGAGGTCTAAGATGAAGTCTTTCCTTGTGTTTTGTGAAGAGCTTTGGGATTTTTTGAATGGAAGACAGCTCCACACTCATCACTGCAGACTGAGCAGTCTGCTGGCCTTTTCACTCAGGGTGCTGTGCTGAGAGCTAAGCTCGTCAGCGGCAGGAGGGGCATGTGGCCTGCGCTCTGCTGAACACTCCAAACAGATCTGAATTGTTCACTGACGAAAATGAGAATTGAGGGCTGTGCTCTGCACAGGTCTTCACAGGTCTTCTGAGGTCTGTGATAAAGTCTGCTCAGGTTTGCACAGGTCTGTGCTGGGTCTGCACAGCTCTGCTCAGGTCTGCAGAGGTCTGCTCAGGTCTGTACAGGTCTGCAGAAGTCTGTGCTGGGTCTGCACAGGTCTGCAGAGGTCTGTAGAGGTCTGCACAGCTCTGTTTAGGTCTGCTCAGGTCTGTACAGGTCTGCAGAAGTCTGTGCTGGGTCTGCACAGGTCTGCTCAGGTCTGCAGAGGTCTGCACAGCTCTTCTCAGGTCTGCACAGGTCTGCTCAGGTCTGTATAGGTCTGCAAAAGTCTGTGCTGGTTCTGCACAGGTCTGCTCAGGTCTGCAGAGATCAGTGCTGGGTCTGCAGAGGTCTGCTCAGGTCTGCTCAGGTCTGCAGAGGTCTGCACACGTCTGCTCAGGTCTGCTCAGGTCTGCAGAGGTCAGTGCTGGGTCTGCTCAGGTCTGCACAGGTCTGCTCAGGTCTATACAGGTCTGCAGAGGTCGGTGCTGGGTCTGCTCAGGTCTGCACAGGTCTGCACAGGTCTGCGCTGGGACTGCACAGGTTTACACAGCTTGGCACAGCTCTGCACAGGTTTGCTCAGTCTGTACAGG